ATGCTGGGGGGCCAGGGGGCGGGGGTCATTTTCCTAACGCTTCAGCACCGCGTCGCTGGTCGGCTCTTGCCATGTGGGCTTGAGCGCCGAAAAGGCAACATCAGAGGCCAGTCCAAATCCACCATTTCAGATTCAAGACGTTGGCGCAGTTGACGCTGCTTGAGCGCAGGGCCCGTGTTGCCGTCTGCGCAGGAGAAGTGTCTTCGTCTCCCCTGTCTTTGGCACGCACGCGTGAGCCGTGGGGATCCGAACCCAAACGTGCAATGCATGCGTCGGTCAAGGCCGACTGGGAGGAGGGTTGAGGGATGAGAGAGGAGAAAGAAAGGTGTGATGCACGAGGAGGATTGGGGAGGAGGATGAACAGCCAGAGCAGCATGAGGAGCGGGAGGGTGAGAAGGATGGTCATGGAGATTGCTGTCTCTTCTTGTGGAACAGGACGAGGAGGAGGATACTGTCGCCCCGAGTCCTCAGAGAGCCGACCAGGTCGATCTTTCCCCGGGGTGTGTGTGCCTTTCCCGTTCTCGTTGCCGTTTTTCCATCCTCCTCGCCATCCTCCCCCGTGCTGCTCTCTCCTCTCTGGCCGTCTTCCTGGTCCACCCTGTGTCACTGTCGTCCTCCTCTTCTCTGCTTGCTGCTCCTCGCCTGCTTGCTCGTCGTCGTCCTCCTCCTCGTCTCCCTCCTGCTTTCCCTCCTTTCCCTCCCCCTCTCCCTCTTCCGCTCCCCCTCCGCTCCCCTCGGCTCTTCGCCTTCACCGAGCGCGATCCACGACTCGCCAATCGCCCACTCGCAAACGTCTGAAACCCACACGTGTGCTCCGATGCAATGCATCGCGGATCCAGGCCTTCTGCGAGCAGTCATTTTCCGAGTAGTGGAACGCGCTTGTCCAACCTTCCCCCCTCCCCTCTCACTCCCCCTCTCCTGAGATCCGACGTTGCAACATCGCGAGCAAACACGACCAGGGCCCAGATCCCGTCTCTCTGCGGCATTCCCCGCGCCGGGTCGAGTCATGATGGTCCCAGGGTCCGAAGCTGAGCGGAAACGCTCCGTGTGAGAAGTTGCAGCGTTAAGTCGGGCCTGTCTCTCTACAGGAGGAAAATTCAAAAATAGTAAAAGAACAATCTGGAGATGATTTTACGACTATTTTTGATTGTATTAGGGGTACTTGTTTGACTATGTTCATTCTTCGCTTATAATCCGCCTGTAGGAGGACATGCCCGACCTAAGTGTAGCGTCCGGATCTCATAGTCCCTGTCCGCCAGGAATTTAGGCGGCTTCGTGCCCAACAAGATCTTCGTGGGCGGCGTGCCCATCACGTGCACGGAGGAGATCTTCAAGGGCTACTTCGAGCCGTTCGGGGCGATCAGCAAGGCGACGAGCTCACGGGCCCGCCTCTCTCTCTCTCTCTGGTTATCACTGTTTGTTGTTGTTCTCTCTCTCTCTCTCTTCCCAATCTCTCTCTCTCTCTCCCGCTCTCTCTTTCTCAATATCTCTTTCTCCTCCTCCCTCTCCCTCTCCCTCTTCTCTCCCTCCTCCTTTCCCTTCTCCCTCCCTCCGCCTCTTCCGAAGACGAGGGTGAGGAGGAGGGAGGAGAGGGGAGGAGAGGAGACGAGGGAGGGGAGGTGAGGCGGAAGGGGGGAGAGGAGGACGATGCAGGATCGGGAGGTCGGAGGAGGGAGGAGTGAACACGGGGGAAGAGGTAAGGAAGACGGTGGGAAGGAGGATGAGGCATGAGGATGAGAAGCATGGCGATGATGTTGATGATGGTGATGATGCTGAGGATGAGGATGAGGCTGCTGATGAGGATGCCGAGGATGATGAGGATGAGGATGAGGACGATGCCGAGGATTGTGATGATGGTGATGATGATGGTGATGATGGTCATGATGGTGATGATTTACACGATGAAGACAATGATGACGATGCTCATGATGATGCTGCTGGTGATGATGATGTTGCCAATGATGGTGATGATGATGACGATGCTGCTGCTGATGATGATGATGGTGATGATGAGAGTGATGGTGATGGTGATGTTGGTGGTGATGGTGGTGATGATGATGAAGATGCTGTTGTTCATGGTGATGATACTGATGTTGTTGATTATGATGTTGATGCTGCTGCTGATGATGCTGCTGATGATGATGGTGCTGATGATGTCGATTATGCTGATGCTTCTTCTGATGATGCTGACGACGATGCTGCTGCTTATGATAATGATGCTGATTATGATGATGATGCTGATGCTGCCGATGCTGATGCTGATTAGGATGCTGATGATGCTGATTATGATGATGCTGATTATGATTATGCTGATGATGATGATTCTGATGATGATGATGATGCTGATGATGATGATGGTGGTGGTGTTGATGATGATGCTAATGCTTCTGTTGATAATGCTGGCGACGACGATGAGTATGCTGATGACTATGATACTGATGATGATGATGGTGCTGATGTTGCTGATGCAACTAATGATGCTAATGCTGCTGTTGATGATGATGGTGATGATGACGATGCTGCTGATGCTGATGATGATGACGATGCTGCTGATGATGCTGCTGATGATGATGACGATGCTGCTGGTGATGATGCTGATGATGATGCTGATGATGCTGCTGCTGATGATGCTGCTGCTGATGATGATGCTGATGATGACGATGGTGATGATGATGATGATGATGATGATGATGATGATGGCGATGATGATGCTGATGATGATGATGATGATGATGATGATGAGGATGAGGATGAGGATGATGATGGTGATGATGCTGATTATGATGATGATGATGATGATGATGATGAGGATGAGGATGAGGATGAGGATGAGGATGATGATGATGATGATGATGATGATGATGATGGATGATTGGTGATGATGATGATGATGCTGATGATGATGATGATGATGATGATGATGATGCTGATGATGATGATGATGATGATGATGATGATGATGATGATGATGATGATGATGATGATGATGATGATGATGATGATGATGATGATGATGATGATGATGATGATGATGATGATGATGATGATGATGACGCTGATGACGGTGATGATGACGATGATGCCGACGAGGTGGTATCGTGCTCTTGTTTTATGCTGGAAGACTCCGGGGAGGAGGGCGGAGGGAGGCGGCGGCCTTACTGCAGAGCGACCGGGCGGATGAGGATGAGGAAGAGGAAGAGGAAGAGGAAGAGGAAGACCTGGGGATGGAGAGATGGGAGAGAGAGCGGGACGCAGAGCAGGGAGGGGAGCGGGAAGGAGAGGAGGACGACCGACCGCCCGCCCTCGGGGACCCGAGGGGAGGGGCTGAGCGGCATATTGCTAGGCGCGGGGGGCAGAAGAAGCACGGGCGGGAGGCGGCGAGGAACGCGCCACTCTCCGAAGCTTCCCTCCCAGCTCATTTCGATTCCTCCGCTTCGATTCGATTCGATTTCGATGGCTCCGATTCCGATCCGATTCGATTTGGGATTCCGATTTTGATACCGATTTCTCAACGGAGGCCTGCCAGCCTGCCTATTCCTGCCGATTTGACTTCTCCCCACTCGGGCTGCCGATGTCCGCCGATCCGACTCATTTCGATCGCCGATCCGACTTGTCGATTCGATTTGGGGCTCTCCTGCCCCTGGGTCCCCGACCCCGCCCACGGGGTCAAGCCGGCGAAACCAGAGTCTGGAGCTCTCTGGACGTGTGCTCTCGAGAGCCGGGCAGAGCAGCGCGATGAGCAGTCACGGCCCGAGAGCCCTCTGGCCTCATCGTGGCAGCCCTCCCCCTCCCACTCTGCGCATCGCTCCGTAATTCCCGCTCATCCATTCTCCGCCTACCCCGCCGCCTCCACCGTCCTCCGCCCTGCCTTCCTCCCGCCTCTGCCACCCCGACGCCTCCCTTTGCAGACCGGCTGCGCGCCTAGGTGGAGCTGCACGCATTGCGTGGCTTCGGGTACATCACCTACGAGTCAGTCGAGTCCGTTGACGCCTGCCTCGAGAAGTACGAGGAGCGTCTCCTGGTTCTCGTCAGTCGGCCAGTCATTGTCCGGTGTGGCGGCTTGCTTGTCGTCGGAGGCAGACGTGTCCGCATTCGTAGCCGTGCAGTTGAGGCGTCGATTTCGGCACCTCTGTTGGTCAGGAAGGGGCGTGGTATTACTCAAATTTCCCCCCTGCACTTCGCATGCATCTGTGGGAAAGTGCCATGGCCGTCTTTGGGCCGTCTCGGAGGCCAGCTGGGATCATCTGGGGCCGCTTGGGGGCCATCTTGGGTGCCCTGGGGGCCATCTGGAGGTCTCTGGAAGGCCTTCTGGAAGTCTCGGAGACCCGTGGAGCGCGTTCTGGAACCAGTTGTCGGGTATGGCCAGGACCCCAGGTAAGGGGACCCGGTTAGTGGTAGGGCCCTGGAGCCTTTGAATTGGCCAGGATCACTAAACCAGGTTTGCCATAGCTGGTGTTTTTTCAGGTGATGGCAGTTCCGGTTAGTGGAAAAGGGACGGGGGGGCGCCCCCCGTACAGATCATTAAACCAGGTCCCACTAAACCCAGTTCTGCCAACGCCCGAAATTGACACGTACAAGTGAGGCGTCAGCGAAGCCCAATTGAGTTTGACGGTTCTTGCTGCTCGGGGGCCCTTCGCAGAACCATATTGGATCTCATTTGCAGCCAAGATGCTGAAGTGAGGAGCAGTCCGGGCTCGGAACGGCCTCATTGTTGTTCCTATCGTGGTTGTTTCTAGCGTTTCTCGCGCACCCAGGCGCGTTCCCTGTTCAGCGTTCCCTGTGGTAGCGCAGTTGACACATCCAAGCACGAGGCCGCCTTGCCTGCAGGCGCCAGGCGTAGACTTCTGATCCCCCGATGCCCCCCCCCTGCGACTCACAGATGAGCATCTGGTCAGCTCAGGAAGCTCAGATCCTTGCTTCGACTGCCGCCCCCTGGATTTCTTACACCAGCATCTCTGCTCGTGTGTACTGAGACGGCGGCCTGCGCACACAAACAACAGCCAGGGTCGCCGCTGCTGGGCGCTGCTCGAAAAACTCTATGTTCCGCCGAGCCGTGGGCTCGTGCAGCGGTGTGGGCCACCTGCTATAGCTCCTGCTGACCTCATACAGCAGGAGTCGTAGCGGCCAGCCTGCCAGTAGCTTACGCTGGGATTGGCCTGGCACCGCTGGAGGATAGCAATGGCTAGCCTCCTGATCGTCCTGTGTGCCAGGGGGTTGAGACTTGCCCCGCATCATCAGAGTCTTCTCCTCCTCCTCGACCTCGTACTCCTCCTCCCCCCCGTCTCCTCCTCCTCCCTCCTCCTCCTCCTCCTCCCTCCTCCTCCTCCTCCTCCTCCTCCTCCTCCTCCTCCTCCTCCTCCTCCTCTCTCTCCTCCTCCTCCTCCTCCTCCTCCTCCTCCCCTCCTGCTCCTCCTTCTCGTCGTCCTCTTCCGCCTCCTCCTCCTCCCCCTCCTCTTCCTCCTCCTCTCCTCCTCCTCCTCCTCCTCCTCCTCATCCCCCCTCATCCTCCCTCCTCGCTCCCTCCTCGCTCGCTCGCTCGCTACCTTACGACTTCCGAGACAACAGAAACTCCTGGGGGCCACGGCTCCGGCGCGCGCGCGGGGGGCAGCGCGGCTCCGGCGCCCGCAGGGGCGGCCCCGCGAGAGGGCGCCCCCTCTCCGGCGTTGCCAGGCGCACTCAGGCGGCGAGGCCGCGGGGGACGCACGAGGGTACACGAGGCTCCCATGATTTTGCTACCGAGCCCGCCCGCGGCGCTGCGCCGCCTCGGCCTCGGTTGGGTGACGGGGCGGAGGGCGCGGGGGCGCGGAGGCGCACAAGCAGCGCGGGCGGAGGCGCCCGCGCTGTGTGCGCCCGATTGGTCGGGCGTTGCCAGACGAGCCCCTGGCCCAAGGTGCCCCCCAGGAGTTCCAAGGAGGCCCCCAGGGGCTCCAGGGCACCTCTCACGAGGCCCAGGGGGCCCCAGGGGGCCCCAGAGGGAGCGAACAGAAAAGCCAGGGGCACCTCACCTCGTGACCCTGTGCCAGGGGCGGCCGCTCCTGCCGACGGTCGCGGCCAGGGCGCCGCAGCAGCGGCCCGCCGCCCGGGCCACTCTTTCCGATGTCCATCGCGCTGTGAGTGCTTCCCCTCCTTCCGCCCCCCGCGGCCGCCTTCCGCCTTCCTCTCCCGCTCGTGCCGACGGCCAATTCGCATTCCGTGCCCCGGCTGCCTTGAGCGCGCGTGCGGGCCGCCTCCGCCGCGCCGCGGGCGAGCAACTCGTGCCGCGAGCGAACAACTCGTGCCAGCGGCACCCTTGGCAGCCCCCGACCTCTGCTGCCAGCCACCCGCGCGGGGTGGCACCGAGCGGGGCCCGAGGCGCCTGGGGCACGGCGCGAGCGGGCTCCGCGAGAGGGGGGGGGCACTCAGTGGCAACGTCCAGGGGGGACACGCTCAGGGGGGATGCACCGACCCCCGATCGACGATAGGGGGGACGTTTTGGATTCGAGATCTCAGGTCTTCGGAGGTTTTCGTCGGTTCTCGGCGGTTTGCCAGCCTCGGGGTGCGTTCCAGCGGCTGCGCCTCGCCGAGGGCGTTCCGGGGGTGCCCAGGTCGTCCCGAACGGCCGCCAGAGAGCCGAGTTGTGCCCCGAAAGGCGGAGGGCAACGCTAGGGGGGAGTGGTCTCGGGGGTATGCATCTACCCCCGATCGCCCATTGAGCGCCGATGGGAGCCCCCATAGCCCACCCTGCCCATGAACTTGAGGATTCGCTATTGGGGGCCTACCGCTGATCCATCGGCGGCGTGTCGCCGATTCCGGGTCGACGTCTCCACCCCTGAACTGGGCCCCCCCCACGTTGCCCTCCCTCGCTTCCCCCCCCCTCCGCGTCATCTCCCTCCACTTGACGCGCACCCTTTACCAGCCTGGAACATATCCCTATCCCTATGCTGGGCACCTCCTCATCACGATGTCAATCCTAGGGATTCCCTTATTTTTTGAGGGCGAATCCCTAAGATTGTCATCGCCTTTTGGCGTGTCAATCTTAGGGATAGGGATACGTTCGAGGCTGGTAAACCCTGGGCACTCTGGCTGCTGTCGCATGGTCTTGCCTCCTGGCTGCCAGACTCGCGTGCCCATCGAGCTCCGCCGCTGCCGTTCCCCCCCTTCTCTCGCGGGGGAGCTGTCTCCATAGCCACCGCCTGGGGGATCTATTCGGGCCAGGGAGGAGGAGGAGGAGGAGGAGGAGGAGGAGGAGGAGGAGGAGGAGGAGGAGGAGGAGGAGGAGGAGGAGGATCTATTCGGGCCTTGGGGGGGAGGTGGCAAGGATATGTCCGGGTCCGCCGCCTGCCGATGTCCAGAAGGTCGATCCCCCAGTCGGTGGGCTGTGGGCAGAGGGCAGATCCCCGCATCGCCTCTCCCCTCCCTTCCCTCCCCTGCCGCCTCCCCCTCGAGGCCCCCCGGACTCCCCACGCTCCCTCCAATCATCCCTCTCGCCTTTTTCTCCCCAGTGAGCCTGAGAATCCTCTCAATTTTCCCTTCTCTCTCCCCTCAATCCTCTTTCTCCTCTTCCCCTTTCTCTTCTCAGTACTCCGTCTCCTCTTTCTCATCTCTCTCTCTCTATGTATTTCCAATTTCCACTCTAAGCAGTTCTTCAATATGCATATTATTCTCCTCTCTCCCCTGAGTCTGGCCTGGGAATGACCCGCCACCCTCCGCGTATTTTTCCTAAATGCCGGTGTTCCTTTCTTTGAGGCTTCCAATGTGGTTTTGCAGTGGGAGCGTTTCAAACATGTGTTGCCGCTGCAGCGTGGGCCTCATTTTTGGATCGGCGCTTTGATTCCCTTCGTTCAGACTGGCGCTTTCGGCCCAGCGCGGGCCACTTCTCTGGTTCCGCGTGCTTCCTCGTCGTTGCCGCCCGGCTCCTTTCCCCTCCCCCGCCTCCCCCTGGTCATTCTGCTCTTCCCGCTTCTCCCACTCCAGCTCCTGCTGCTGCTGCTCCTCCTCGTCCTCCTCCTTTCGCCTCCTTCCTCCTCTTTCCTCCTCCTGCTCATCTGCCACCTCCTGCTCCAGTGTGCACAGCTCCCCCCATTCCCGATTGCGCATGATTCGAGGGGGTCCTCTTTGGAGCTCCAGGTCCGCTTTGGCACGCGTCGGCAGACAGAGAGAACCTCCGCAAAACGGGAAGGGACGGGGCGGAGGCGTAGGATGTCAGATCTAGCGCGATGCTCCTATAGCTTGTCCCCTTTCTTCCCCTTTCTCCTCTCTCATCTTCTCCTCTTTCTCTCTTGCCTCTTTCTCCTTGGCCCCCGGGCGGCGCCTCGGGCGCCGCTCCTGGCGCGCGCTCCGCGCGCCAGGGAGGGGGGGGGGGAGGTCCAGCGCAGATCCATTTATGCGCATGTTCGGATGCAGCTCCTGGGAGGTCAAATTCTGATTTTGCCCTGGTCCGAAATCCGGCCAAATCCGGCTTAATTCCGCCCGCTTAATCCAGCTTAATCCGGCTTACTCCGAGGCCCACTCCGGCGTAACAGCTCCCAAATGGGGCTTAATCCTCCTTAATCTTTCCGACGAAAACTTCTGAGTAGTTGCCTCCTAACGTATGTTTCTTTTTCTAAGTGCACTGTGATGGGGGCGCGTGCATGACCTCGAAGGGCGGCTGGATCACCTTCGTGGCTGACCGATCCTCCGTCTGAGCACATGCTCGGTACGTTACCGCTGTCAGCACGGTTGCCATTAGCTTTTACCGATCATTGCCATCGTGGATCCCAAGCAGTCGATTGCTACACGGAAGACATGTAGGCGATGTGATGCAAGTTATTTAGTGTATGAAAGGTGGTGCAATATTTACAGTGCAAGTTGTATGATGTAAGCTATGTGGTGCAGACTATGTGGTGTGAACTATGTGATGCAATCGACGTGCTGTAAGCTGTGTGGACCAAGCTACGCGGTGCAGGCTATGTGGTGCAAGCTATGTGGCGCAATTGACGTGGTGTAAGCTGTGTGGTGCAATAGTTGTGGTGCAAGCTATGTGGTGCAAGCTCTGTGGTGCAAGCTATGTAATATACGCTGTGTGGTGCAAGGTACGTGGCGTACGCTATGTGGTGCAAGCTTTTTTGGCGCAGTATTAATGGTGCAGGCTATGGGATGTAAGCTATGTGGTGCAAACTGTGTGGTGACAGCTAAGTGATGCACTCGATGGGTTGCAATCTACGTGGTGTACGCTACGCGGTGCAAGCTATGTGGTGCAAGCTGTGTGGTGCACTTGACGTGGTGCAAGCTTTGTGGTGCAAGTTTTGTGGTGCAAGCTTTTTGGTGCAAGCCATGTGGTGCAAACTCTGTGGTGCAAGCTATGCGGTGCACTCCATCGGGAAACATGGGGCGGCGACGGACGGGAACGTGGCCTCTGGGCCCGCAGACGGGCCCAGTTCTTCAGAGGGCAAGTGAGAAGAACCCCTAACTTAAGGGCAAGCGCTGTTTGGGAACATGGTATGTCGATGGCATCGGCGCGAGCGTCCACCCCTGGGACTGCACGCTCACGTTGCGATGGACTGGTGCGTCTGCTCCAGGTCTCGGGCGGCGTGAGAGGCTGCGGAGGCCGAGGAGGTGGAGGTGCAGAGGGTAGAGGAGCACGGATGTGGGTGGTTGTGGCGGCGGAGGCGGAGGCGGAGGCGGAGGCGGAGTAGGAGGAGGAGGAGGAGGAGGAGGCGGAGGAGGAGGCGGAGGAGGAGGAGGAGGAGGAGGAGGAGGAGGAGGTAGAGGTGAAGGTGGATTTTGGAGGTGGTCGTGGCTGTGGCCGTGGACCAACACTGGTGGGACGATGGGGGGGTGGGCCGGCCCCCGAAGGCGTCGACTCCCCCCACAGCACAGCTTGCCATTCCAGCAGGCACTCTGCGTGCCGTGGGCGCGGTGGCGGACCTGTCCCAGCCTGTCCTCCTGTCCCGTCCTGCCTCGTCCGATGCCATTCTCGTGCTGCTCCTGTCTCCTCGCCCTTCTCCTCGCCCTTCTCCTTCCGCCCTTCTCCTTCTGTCCTTCTCCTCCTCGCCCTTCTCGCCCCTCTCCTCGCCCTTCTCCTCGCCCTTCTCCTTCTCCCGCTCCGCCTCCTCCTCGCCCTCCTGCCCTGCCTGCCCCTGCTCCTGCGGCCCATCGTCGCTGCCCCCCCCCCTCTCCGGGGAACGAGGGAGAGGAGGAAGGGTCCGCGTCCGTGGTCAGCTCGTCTCCGTGGGTTTCCGCCCGGGCGGCACCCGCCATGAGCAGCGCCCCCGCGGCCGCCGCGCGGCCCGTGGCCTCGGCCGCGGCGCCCGCAGGCCGGCCGCCGCGCCGAGCCGCGGGCTCTGCCGCCGCGGGCCCGCGGCAGAGCCCGTGGCCCGCGCGCGGTGCCGTGGCTCCGAGGCTCCCGCCGTGCCGCCGGCCGCCCCCGCAGCCGCGGAGCGCGGCTCGCGGCGGGCAGGCCGGCGCGGCGCGCCGCGTGGTGGCCCGCGGCTGCGCCGCCGCCGCCGCCGCCGGCGCGGTAGCGCCCTGGGCCGCGGCGCGCAGCCGCGGGCGCGGCACGGCGCGCCGCGCAGCGGCGGGCGGCGGCGCGGGCGAGCTGTACAGCACGCTGGACCTCGTGGCGCTCTCCGTGGGCTGCACCGTGGGCAGCGGCGTCTTCTCGCTCGTAGGGCGCGTGGCGTCGCAGGACGCCGGGCCGGGCGTGGTGCTGTCGCTGGCGGTGGGCGCGCTGGGCTGCCTGCTGAGCGCCGCGGCCTACGCGGAGCTCTCATCGCGCGTAACGGCGCCGGGGTCGGTGTACGCGTACGTGCGCGCGGCCCGTCTCGGGCGGCCGTGTATGGCGGCGGCTGCCGCCTGCCTCACGCTGGAGTACGCGGTGAGCTGCGCGGCGGTGGCGGTGGACTGGTCGGTGAAGCTGTCCAGGGAGCTCGGGCTGGAGCTCTCGGGGCCTGGTGCCCCCGCGGCGCTGCTCGCCGCTGGCTGCACGCTGCTGCTCGCTGCAGGGGCAAGTCCGTCGCGGGCGTTCACCAACGCCGCCACCGCCGCGAAGGTCGCCCTCGTGCTGTACCTCGTGGCTGTGGCGCTCACGGCGTTCGATCCCAGCAACCTGCAGCCGCTGGTGCCCCCCGAGCGCGGCCCAGAGGGCGTGCTCAGGGGTGCAGTTTCTTGCTTCTTCGCGTTCATCGGGTTCGACGAGGTCTGCTGCCTGTCCGGTGAGGCCCGCGACCCGTCGCGATCAGTGCCGCTGGCGCTGCTGCTGGGCATCGTCTGCACCACCGCGCTGACCGGGGTGGCGGCGCTCGCGCTGGTGGCAGCGGTGCCTGCTGCATCTATTGACCCCGACGCTGGCTTCGCATCGGCTTTCGAGCAGCTTGGCTATTGGGGAGCAGGCAGTGCAGACCTGCTACACCACCAATGTATCCCTCGCTCCTTCTCCCCCCCCTGCTTCCTGCCATACGCGCTGGCGTATCCTGAGATCCGAAGATGCGAACAAATTTAGGATTGTCAAGTTGCAGCAGGTACGTCGATTCGCGGTGTTGACGTCTCAGAAATGGTGTCCTGGCACGATTTTGGATTGTCAGGTCGCAGCGCTGACGTTGATTCGCGCTGTTGGCGTCCCAGAAAGATATGGTGTTCTGGCACAACTAGGATTGTCAGGTCGCGTAAGTGCCGTTGATTCGCGGCGTTGATTGCACGTTTAAGGATTTCCAAACGGTTGTTTTCCAACAGGGTTCTTACCGCAGTAAAGATCGATCTTTATAGTAGCCTATGAAGAGGGATCTTGGAGAGAGGGTGTATTGCGACATCGTTGATGAGTCATGGGTTTACACTCGTCCTCCTACTGCTCCCCCCCTACCCGTGGTTACAGCTCTGGCCTTCCCCCGGATCCAAGGGGGGGCGAGTTCTGTCCCACCCGGAGTAGACCCCGTCTTCTTGCGGCACTTCCCGCGCCAGATCGGTCTGTGAGGCTCCGAGGGCCCGACGCGAGGCAAGATCGCCCCTTGCGAAGAAGCGCGGCGCCGAGATCTCGGGGTGCAGGTCGTGTCTCTTGTCAGGGGAGGCCAAGCGTACCCCAGAACAGGCGCACCCCGGAGCCGCGGCCACAGGGCCCACCTCTTGGCGCCCAACGGCCGCGTTTTGGCGCCCACCGTGGCTGGAGCCGTGGCCGCTGTGACACCTCACCGGGGGCACGTCGTCCTGGGGGTGCGGCTGGCCCTCCCCAGTCTTCCGGAGGGTTCCAAAGGGGGCTGTTGGGGAGGGGGCTTTCCAGAGAGCCCCCCCATGGAGCCTCGGAACCTCGTCAGCACAGGGGGTGCGAGGCCCCTGGGGGGGCGACTTCACTTCTAGAGGTTCCCGAGCTTTTTCTCTCGATTTCCTCTTCGCTATCTCTCTCTCTCTCTCTCCTTCTCTCTCTCTCTCCCTCACTCTCCCTATTTTTTTTGGGGGGGGGGGCGAAGAAAAAATCCGATTGTAATCCGTCACAGAAGAAATCCTTTTGTAAGCGCCCACAAAGGGAATCCTATTGAAATCCTCTACAAAAGCAATCCTATTGTAATCCTCCGCAAAAGGAATCCTATTGTAACGCGCCACAAAGGAAATCCTTTTGTGGCGGCCAGGAAAGGTGGGGGGCGGGCAGAGAGAAAAAAAAAAACACATTTTTTTTTCGGGCGGGGGCGCGGAAACAAAAAAAAAAAAATCAACGTTTTTTTTTTTCGCCCCCCCCCCCCCCCCACTTTTCCTGGCCGCCACAAAAGGACCCCCTTTGTGGCGCATTACAATGGGATTCCTTTTGTGGCGGATTACAATAGAATTCCTTTTGTGGAGGATTCCATAGGACTCCTTTTGTGGAGGAATACACTGGGATTCCTTTTGTGGAGGATTACACTAGAATTTCTTTTGTGGAGGATTACAGTAAAATTCCTTTTGTGGAGAATTCAATAGGATTCCCTTTATGGAAGATTACAATAGGATTCCCTTTCTGGATATTCCAATAGGATGTTCCTTTTGTGGACGATCGCAAGAGTCTCCCCTTTGTGGCGCATTACACTAAAATTCCTTTTGTGGAGGATTACAATAAGATCCCTTTTGTGGAGGATTACATTCGAATTCCTTTTGTGGAGGATTCAATCGAATTCCTTTTGTGGAGGATTACAATAAGATTCCTTTTGTGGAGGATTACAATCGATTCCCCTTTGTGGAGGATTCAATAAGGTTTCTTTTGTGGAGACTTACCATTGGATTCCTTTTGTGGAGGATTCAATAGGATTCCTTTTGTGGGTGGTTACAAAGGATTCCTACTGTTGCGGATTACACTGGGATTTCTTTTGTGGAGCACTTGAACAGGATTCTATTCGCTATTTTTCCCCTTTCTCTTCTTCCTCGGCAGCTCCACTTTCCTTGGTTGCCACGATGGGGTTCCCCCTGTTGCGAATGACAATAAGATCTCTTATTTGTAAGAAAGTACACTGAAAAACTATTGCGTTCAACGTTACGCTAGAATGCTCTCTGTAAAGAACTCCAACACAATTCCGCTTGACGGCGGTTTGTAATGGCGAACGTAAGTGAATACTGCACACGCGAGAGATGAGCGATTCTTTCTTCACTCACTGCATGGCCTCTCGAAGCGCACCCCTCGTACAGTTTGCAAGCAACAACGCCTCTGCAATTCCAACCTTAAACGGTCACAGCACTATTCGCAATATTTTGTGTAAGGGCATTCATTTTTTGAATGCCCTCTCTCGTGCAAGGCGTTAGCAAAGGGCGGGCCCCGCTCACTGCTTAGCCCACCACTTCTTCCACGCGCGGAGCTCTTTGGCGAGCTCCGCGTGGTTCTTCAAGGAGGAGCCAAGGTCGCAGCTGGTCTTGGCGTAGCTCTTCTTGAGAGCCTGAACGTGGCGTGTTGTGGAATTGTCATGTTACCACGGGTTTTCACATTTACTAAAATCTTTATGCAAATAGATTTTCAAAGGGACGCGGCCTCGTGCTTGTAGTAGAGCTTGTTGTACTCCGTCATCCAATGGTCAGCCCTGGTCGTCTGTCCGTAGAGGTTCCTGTAGTGCTGGTTGCTGCGCCTCCTGGGGAGGAGGGGGGAAGGGAGTTCAGGGGTGCAATAATAATTATGTGTTGTGTTTTAGCGGGGTTGTTTGTAACGTAATGGTTGGGGGTATGTCGTGGGTTTTACCTTCCCCCGGGGTCGTTGCTTGCTCTGCCTTGCTGCGAGCTTCGGCAAGAGTTTTTTTCAGTGGCGCCACGGCGGCCCGCGCAGCCTTCTGCACCACCTTCTTGATCTCGGGCTTTTTCAAGAAGTTCACCGCCCTCTTGGTGGCCAAGCGCTCCTTGTTCGCCTGCTGTGGATAGACGATGGGTGGTGGAGTTTGTTTCTTGGTTCTTCGGTTGTTTTTTTGTTTGTTTTTTGTGCAATCCGCTTGGGCCTGGAGTTTCTCGTAGTACTTCTTACTCCCGTACGGCGGGTTCCCCATGGCAGTCTTGGACTTTATGTCGAGGGTACAATCGCCAGCAACAAGAATAGCACAATCGAGGCTAAGGAGCCAAGAAGAAGGGAACTCAAATTGCAAAGGGATGTGGGGAGAGGCGGGAGGGATGAACCGCAAGACATCATCAGAAGTACTGCTGAAATGATTGCTTCGATGAAAGCATCCACTTTCCCCTCTCTCGCACCCTTCTTCTACATCTTTCCCCCTCATTTTCCTTCTTCCTCCTTTTCTCTTCCTCCCTCTTCCCTCCCTCAAAACTCCGCCGTGCCCCGGGATACTTTAGTGTAAGCCCCTGCCGCCGCCGGGCACCCGGATACTTGAGTGCAAGTCCCTTCTTCTACTTGGCATTGCACTGCAATCGCATTGCATTGCAATCGCATTGCTTGGCAATCGCATTGCATGGCAATCGCATTGCAATCGCATTGCATTGGAATCGCATTGCATTGCAAAGGCATTGCATTGCTGTCGCATTGCACTGCATTGCAATCACATCGCATTGCATTGCATTGGCTTGGGGGGAGAAGGGAAAGAGAACGGGAGAGAGGACGGAGGACGGATGAGGAAGGGGGGGGAGAAGACGGATGAGGAGAGGAGGAGGGAAAGAAAAAAGGATGGACTGAGAGAGAGAGAGAGAGAGAGAGAGAGAGAGAGAGAAGAGAGAAGAATGAAGAAGTCAAGGAGAACATCACAATAACTAACGAGAAAACGGGAGAAAAAACTCGGGAACCTCTAGAAGTGAAGACGGCGCCCTGGGGGACCCCTCCCGGAAAGCCCCCCCTCCGCCAACAGAGCCCCTTTGGAACCCTCTGGGCCTCGTCTGCTCGACTGCGGGACGGGAAAATGACCACAGCCACTGCTGCTTGTCTGCGCCGCCTTCCAGCTGGCCGAAAAAGAAGCAGTGGCTGTGGTCATCTCCCTGGTGCCGAGCCTGACGAAAATGACCACAGCCACTGCTTTGTTTCTGCTGGCTGGGGGGCGGCGACACAAGAAGAGCAGTGGCTGTGGTCGTTTTCACGTCCCGTATCGCCTGCTCCCCGGCCGTGGCCCTGCTGCGCGCGTGGCCGCGGCGGGGGAGCTGCTGTGCCTGCCGGTGGTGGCCTTCGGGTGCCTGCTGCCGCAGAGCCGCCTGCTGCGCGCGGCGGCGGCGGACGGGCTCGCGCCAGCGTGGCTGGCCGCCGCGGACGAGCGCGGGCAGCCGCTGGCCGCCACGCTGGCGGGCGGCGCGCTGGCGGTGGCCTCCGCCGCCGCGCTGCCCTTCGACAGGTCGAGGGTCCTCGGGGCGTGCGCTGGCCCAGCGCGTGTGCGCCCGAGGCCTGGGCGTGGCGGCGCTCTCTTTGGGCAAGGGGCGCTCTCGCCGCGGCGTCTCTCGGCGTCTCTCGGGAGCCTCAGGGGTCGACGCGGCTCGGGAACATGCCGCAGAAGGACGGGGGGTCCAGGGAGGAGGAGGAGGAGGAGGAGGAGGAGGAGGAGGAGGAGGAGGAGGAGGAGGAGGAGGAGGAGGAGGAGGAGGAGGAGGAGGAGGAGGAGGAGGAGGCCGGTCGGGATTCGTCGCGATGGCGCAATTTGTTTCGCGGTTATCGGATCCCAGTGACCCGGCCTCCGTGGCCAGGCACACGCTGGCGCGAGCGCACGTTCGGAGCATCCTCGAGACATCCTCAACGACGTCATCACGGAGGAAGGAAGCACGGCAGGAGCACAGGCTGTCGGAGTTCCGCGCGGCTCTGCTCGGCCCCCGGCGCTGGGCCCCCACCTCCATTTCCGAAACAGGCAGCGACGGGCCCCCTCCTCCTCCTCCTCCTCCTCCTCCTCCTCCTCCTCCTCCTCCTCCGTAGCCATTTTGGCTCAAGATGTTTGGTTCCCCTGGGGACCGCACGGATACCGCTGGTCCGCGGCCAGACCACCGCTCGCCTTCACCGTGGGAGTTGGGCGCCCACATCCAGTCCTTTCCAGATCGCGCTGCCACGGCCCGCCGAGTGGGCTGCTGCCTGGCGTCGTGGAGATGCCACCGCCGCATTACCGCTCGGAGCAGGCGCTTCCTTGGTACTGCAAGAGCTGCTGCGGGCCCTCGGGGAGACCGTGGTGGAATCATGCAGAGGCGCGGCAGTGTGCGAAGTGCAAGCTCGGCAAGGGACTGGTCTTCCATGGCGTGCGCCAGCCCTCGGCCCCCTCCCAGCGGAGGAAGGGTCATCAGGGCGGCGGCGGCAACGGTTACTGGGATGACTCCGTCAGGGTGGCCCAGCTCAAGTCCGAGCTCGCAGAGGCCCGCAAGCGGCTGGCTGCGGTGCAGAGGCCGCCGCCTGGCGGGGAGGACGTGCAGATGGAGCCGGCCGCGGACGGGGACGGCCCCGAGTCTGTCGCCAAGGACAGGCTGCGCGAGGTCGGCGACCTCATCGGCAAGCTCAAGGGCATCTCCGAGCCGTCGGTCGTGGCCACGCGCGACAAGCTGCTGGCAGAGCAGGCCGAGCTGCGAGCCAAGGTGGCGGAGTCCCGACCGCTCGGGCAGCGACTGCGCGAGATGGGAGCTCAGTTCACCAGGCTGCAGAAGCTGCGCGACGACCAGCAGACCAAGCTCGATGGGCTGCAGGCGCAGATGCGCGACCTGCAGGAGAAGGAACGGCTCACTCGCGACAAGCTGGCGGCCATCGATGCAAGCATGGAGGAGCTGGACCAGGAGCGCAAGAAGCTTCAAGGACAGGTTCCGACGCCAGGCGACAAGGCGTCGCTCGATGAGCCGATCAAGGGGGTTGGTGCCACGCTCGAGGGCCTGGGGATCCTGCTTCAGAGCCTGGGCGCCGATCACCAGCTGTCGGGCAGCCTCACGGCGAGCTTCCAGGAGTTGCAGAGGTTGCAGGAGGAGGAGGCGGCGAAGTTGGCAGCCCAGAAGGCGCAGGCCGATGCTGGGGCCGAGGCTGGGGCCAACGTCGAGCAGGCCGAGCGGCAGGTCGATGCTGCAGCGCCACGCACACCACAGCCAACGGCCTTCTCCGACGTCCCCGATTTCATGGAGGAGGTCGTCGCCGCTGGTGGCGAGAAGCACAGGCTGGAGGAGATCTTCATGCGTTGGGGTGCCAAGGTCAAGAAGCCTAGGCTCACCCCTGTCTAGCCTGGCTCCACGGCGGTGTTTTGCGTGTATTGTGTGGTTCGTCCTCCTTTGTCGCACCATGGCTTCTGTTGCAAGTATTACCACCGTGAACGTGTCCTCGGGCGGCCCGCTCGTCGATTTCCTGCCCACGTGCTCGAGCTTATGCATCGCGGTGCAGGAACATCATGCCAAGGCCGAGGGCGATGCCTTGGCGAAGTTGCAGAATAAGGTAAGAGCTGCTGGGTACCATGGCATTTGGGAGCCCGCTTTACCTGGGCAGGGAGTTGGCAGCAGAGGCGGGGTTGCGGTGCTGGCCCCTTTGCGGGTGGTCATCACCAAACCCCCAGGCCTGGACAGTCACGTGCTGCAGGAAGGCAGGATGATGGCGGCCCATGTCCACGCGGGGGTGAAGGGCGGCTTCGTCATGCTGTCGTGCTATTTCATTGTGGACGTGAAGCTGTCGCCTGAGAACCTGGCCATGCTGTACAAGCTGTACCAGTGTGTCAGGTCGCTGGAGGCCATGGGCGTACCGTGGATCGTCGGAGGCGACTTCAACATGGAGGTAGGCGAGCTCGGCCCGTTGTCCTGGCTCCAGTCGGCCAATGGCGTGGTGCTGGCGCCGAGAGAGCCAACTTGTCTTCAGAGCCTTCCTGGCCGCACCATTGACATGTTCATGGTATCTTGTCGTCTACTGCCTCGCGTTCGGCAACCAGTGGTCGTCGACGCGGAGACGTGGCCGCATCTTCCCGTGACCATGGAGCTCTCCGCCACGCATTTCGACGCGAAGGTCAGGAGGCTAGTCGAGCCACGCGGCATTCGTAGGCCGCCTGCGGCAGGGTGCGCGAGGTTCCCCCCCGACTGGGACCCGATCTTGGCGATCATCCAGAGCGCGTCGGACAGCGAGGGCATCACCAGGGCCTGGGACGTCGTGCTCAGCGGCATCGAGTTCGAGCTGCGGGGCCGCTACGACCTCGTGAATGACGTGGCGGAGTACTCCACGGTGCCAGGCCCCCCAACCTTCGAGCTGGCGAGTTTTCACCCTGTCGTGAAAGGTGCCTGGAGCAGGAGGTCGGCGGACACCCAGGCCTGGGCGCAGGCTGCGCGCTGGGCTCGTCACCTCAGGAGGGTTCGAGTGGCCTTGCAGAGTTTCGTGCTCCAGCTTCGCCCGCAGCAGGTCTTCGAGCTCGGCAGCGTCGGCGAGGCGCACGTCGACGGAGTGCCTGGCCTGGGCGATGGGGCACCCCCTGCTGCGGAGGTCGTCGGAGTGGCTGGTCTCTCCTCCGATGGTGGTCGGCCTCGGTCGAGAGCTCAGCGACACCAGCCCCCGCGACGTGCAGGCGAGGACCTATCGTGGGACGCCGTGCACTCCAAGGCGGCGCGCCACCTGCTGGAGTGCGAGAATTTCTTCCAGAGAATCTGGCGGAGGAAGGGAGTCTGGCCGCACCTGGACGCCGAGGCCGTCGGCTTCTTCTCGCGTGGCATACTTGCCTTAGCGCAGGCAGACTTCGAGCAGCAGGTCGACCGCATCCTGAGTATCTCCTCCGATGCTGAGGCCAAGCATGAGAAGGCCGTGATGCAGAGCTGGAGGCAGTGGGCGCAGGCAGCTTTTGTGGCTGGAGCCAAGGGAGCTCACCGATTCATGAAGCCCAAGGCTCTCCAGGAGATCGTGGACGGAGGCAATGGGCTACAACATGGGTACGTACTGGCTGATCGTAAGCTTGAGTATTGGGAAAGCTTCTGGGTGCGGCATGGCGGTGAGCTGGCTCGCCGACCTGTTGATGCTGACACTTGGGAGCAGCTGCCAAGGCTTGAGGCGGCCGACGTACTCAAGGCAATCCGTTGTTTCTCTTGGCAGACAGGCGTCGGGCAGATCAACATCGCGCCCAGGGCCATGGAGCACCTCTCCCACGGGGCGCTGACGGCCATGGCGCGCCTCTTCGAGCGGTGCGAGCACCTCCTGCTGTGGCCAGACGGCAGATTCCTCTCGAAGCTCGTGAGACTCCCCAAGCCAGGGGGTGGGGAGCGCCTGATTGTGCTGATGAACACGCTGGTCAGGATCTGGGGACGGGCGAGGCGGCCTGTCTCGGCAGCGTGGGAGAAGGCCCATGCGCTCCCAGAGGTCTGGGGCCACACTGGAGGCAAGTCGTCGAGTGATGCGGCCTTTGATTTGGCTCTCACCAAGGAGATGGCGACCCTGTGCGATGACGACGCCATCATTGTGCTGCTGGACATGCTCAAATGCTACGAGCTGGTCAGGCATGATGCCATTTTGTTGGAGTGCAGGGCCAATGGATATCCTATGCGAATGGCGTTCATGCTTGTGCAGATGTACCAGCAGCTGCGTTCGGTGTACTCGTATTCTTCGTATTCAGTGGCGCGCAGGGCGTATCAGGGCATCCTGGCAGGCTGCGCCCACGCCACTACGCTTCTCATGGTGTTGTTGACTCGCAGCATTCGCCAGACGATGTCGGTCGCTCCTCAGGTTCAGCCCAAGGACTTGGTGGACGACGTCGCGCTGTGCTGGGTCGGCAACGACCCGAGCGGGGTGCGAGAAATGGCCATTGCCACTCGTGCGTTCTGCAGGGCTGTCCGGCCCCTCGGGCTGGTGCTGCAGATGGATAAGTCTGGGCACCTAACGACGTCCAGGCGCACCAGCTACCACTTTCAGAAGTACGCTAGGCTGCTGAAGATCGCTGGCAAGAGGCACATGCGGTATCTTGGCCACGACCTAGCTGGGTCGTCGGCCACAAGGGCCGTGCAGAAGGGACGCCTGAAGGCCATGCACGGCAAGAAGGCCAGCGTTCGAGCATTGCAGAAGGGAGCAGGACGACAGCGGGCGGCTCGGCTCTGGGCCACGGGTGTGCTGCCATCCGTGGGGCACGGAGCCACGGTCAGCGGCATCAGCGACACGGAGCTGCAGCAGATGAGGACCATGGCTGGCGTCTTCTGTGGCTACAAGGGGTCGGGCTCCCTGACGCTGTACCTGGCCGCGCAGCAGTGGAACTTCGACCCCATATCCCACGCTACCTTCAGCATCGTGGGGCAGTACGCGGCGTGGGTGTGGGATGGGCGTGTGACGCTCTCCCGTCTGCAGCGGGCCTGGATGGGCTTGCGTGACTCCTGGGAAGCCCGCCACACTCACGTCACGTGGGCCAGTGCGCAGGGCCCGCTGTCGGCTTTGTGGTTGTCCCTCAGGAGAGTCAACTGGAACATGGCAAGTTCTACTATCTTGGTTGACGATGAGGGCCTGCATATCAGTTTGCTGCAGTATTGTCCCAGTGAGGTGCTGTTTTTCCTGCGTCGCAGCCTCGACCGTTGGCAGAGCCATCGTATCCTCGACCAGCTGCCTGAGGCGCCCCCAGCCGATGGTGGCGGCAGGCGGCAGCAGCATGTGTGGCTTCGTGCGCTTCGATCGGGACACGCTTCCTTGGCGCCTGGCCACAGAGGGGCTCTGGCCAAGCTGCAGTCCAACGGGTTCTGGTCGCCGCAGCGCCGCATGCAGGCTGGCTACGGCGGCGACGGTTCGTGCGAATTCTGCGGGGAGGCCTGCTGCGACCTCGAGCATGAGATCTTCGGCTGCAAGGTATTGCATCAGCAGCAGGAGGACGAGGAGACGGAGCCGTACCCCGAGGAGGTGGCCAAGAGGAGGAAGGACATCCTGAAGGCAGCCCCGTGGCGCGACGGGGGCCAGGTGCAGGACTTCTCGGCCATCGACGTGCTCTACGCGCTGCCCCTGAGGCCTGTTTTCAGGCCGCTGCCTGCACGTGCTCAGGCTGAGCGCGAGTGGGGGGCGATCGACATGCCGTGGCCGTCGAAGTTGTACGGGGACGGGTCCTGTCTTGAAAGTGATTTCCCTGAGGAACGGCGCTGTGGCTGGGCCGTCGTGGCATTGACCCGAGACCTGTGGCCATACAAAGCTTTGTTCGGGAGCCTGGGGGGCCCTATCCAGACGGTGCCCAGGGCCGAGCGCGTTGCTGGTCTCAAGGCCCTGCAGAGGGCCCAGAGGCCAGCCACGTACGTGACTGATCATTTACAGCTGCAGGTCGAGGGAATGGCCTGGGAGGGTCGTCATGCTTCTGCCAGAGCGCCTCACGCGTCCATCTGGCGGAGCATCCACGAGCTGTATAGAGGCGACCCTGTCAGGCCCGTGTTTGTTTGGACGAAGGCCCATCGGACCGTCATCGAGGGGTTTGATGCCTGCCTGGCTTCCCAGGAGCCCCTGGAGCATTTTTTCGGTAATATGTGGGCTGATGTTTTCGCCCGCGTGGCTGCGGCAGATTTCCTTGGATCCACCTCCGTGGTCAAGGCTCACAAATTTTCTCTGCTTCGGGCCCAGGACACGATGCGTTGTCTGGCCTGGGCTGCCGAGCGCGTGGCCCGCCTCTCCACCCCGATACTCCGTGCGCCTCCGAAGGCTGTCTTTCGGCCCCGCCGTCCGCGGCGGCCGACCGATCACGACTTTGTGGTCTTCGCTGGGGGAGCGATTCGATGTCGTGCCTGCTGGAGGCTTGCAGCGACGGCTTCGTCGTTGAAGTCTCTGGCCTCCCGTGCATGCGACCCCCAGGAGGTCGGGCCAGGACACCAGGTCCAGGCCTTGGATCGAGTTTTGATCTGTGTAAAGTGCGGGGCGCACGCTGTGCGCCCCAATCGGCTGTCGGTCGGCCTGTCTCGAGCGTGCAAGAGGGCTGGGACGGGGTCGGCGGGAGCTGGGAGTGGGGGGGACGGAGCCATCGCGTCGATGCTCGAGCAGGCTCGAAGGGGCCTGCATCCCAAGACGGGCGAGCCCCTCGAGCCGCTCGTCTTCTCGGAGCTCGGGGAGCCTGCGATGCCGCAGCAGGCGCCCGAGCCCGAGGCACCTGCATGGTGGGCGGAAGTACAGACGTGGGATTGACTACCCAGCGGGGGGCGCGGTGCGAGTGGGGACTGCCCGGCGGTGCGCCGTTAGTGACCCTCGCACCGTTGCTCCCCGGCCCCGCGCACGGCGCGGAGTGTGCCCCTTGTTGGATGAGGGTCTCTCTCTCGTCCCTTCCCTTTTCGAGGCGTGTTCGTGATTCACCTGCACGCTCTCGGCACTGTCCTCACTGTCCTCCTCCTCCTCCTCCTCCTCCTCCTCCTCCTCCTCCTCCTCCTCCTCCTCCTCCTCCTCCCCCCTGGCGGCGCCTCTGGCCGCCAGAGGCCCCGGAGTCCGGCGCCGCCCCTGGCGCGCGGAGCGCGCCGCGCAGGGGGGTGCCCAGCGCCGATCCAAGGAGCGCGCGCGGAGCTCCGGTAATTAGTCCGTGCTGGTGCCGCTCGGGCTCGAATGGGGCTCCGTGTTCCTCGGGCCCTTCCGGGGCTGTTCCGCTGGCCCTCCTCGTGCACCCGGGCGCCTTTGGGGCCCAGGAGGGGCTTCGTTCCTCATCCGGCGTTCCTCCTGGCAGGAGCTGGGCTGCACCGCCACGGCGCTGCAAGAAGGAACAGCTTGGGTTCGGAAGGGGCTCGATGTTCCTCAGGCCCTTCCTTGGCTGTTCCTCCCTGGCGCTCCTCGTGCACGCTGGCGCTCGTGGGGCCAAGAAAGGGGCTTCGTTTCGATGACGACGATGACGATGACCACGACGACGATGAGGACGATGACGATGACGACGATGACAACGACGACGACGACGACGACGACGACGACGACGACGACGACGACGACGACGACGACGACGACGACGACATTTATCGTCCCTTCTTCCCGGAAATCCGACGCAGCGAAAAAAATACAACATCGTTAAAAAATCATGCACGGAGCCCTAGCTTCCATCCTTCGGCGTTATTTTTCGAGCCGGATCGATCTGTGAGGGCCCCAGGGCCCGCAACGGGGCGAACACGCCCGCTGTAAAAAAACCGCAACGCCGGCACAGCGGGACGGTCTGCCGTGCTTCCTTCCTCTACATCAGCGCTGGCGTGCTGATCTCCTTCATTCGACCACACGTAAGAGTGACCTTTCGCCGGAGTGACCTTTAGTGCGGCCCAATGGGGCCCCCCGATCACCGAACGCGAGACGATAGTGGCGTCTCGCGCGCTTGTGTTTGGGCCCCCCGCGGCCCCCCAAAAGCTGCGCACCAAAGGTCACTCTTACCCAGGCCCAGACATGCGACGTCCTGCAGGACCCGTTTTTCGTCCTGAGTCGTGTTTTGAAAGTCCCGAGTCCTGGCGAGGGCCCCCCGGGGCCGAAAATGGCCCCAAACCTCCCGTCCTGATTTTTTTTGGCGACGCGATCATGTCTGGGGGGTGTTTCCTGCGTGTAGTCGATTCGTCCTCGCCAACGGCGCCGCCGTGGCACTGCGCGGCCCTGGCGCGGGGGCCGGTGCGGAGCAGCGGCGGCGGCAGCTCATGCTCGGAGGAGGGCCAGGCGGGGCCACGGCGGCCGGGCCGCCAGGCTCGAGGCCGCTCGATGCCCGTCTCGGGGCCCCTCCCCCCCCCACCACCAGATTGAAGTCGGGCCTGTCCCCCTATGAGGGGAGTTGCGACGAAGAATAAAACAAACCCCGAAAAAATACCCCCAAAAGGCCAACAAATGCACAAAAGATAGTCCCCAGACTATTTTTTGATTATATTTTTCTATTCTTTTTGGGGTGTATTTTTTGGTTCGTCGAAAATCCCCCTGTAGGGGGACACGCCCGACATAAC